TTGTCCCCGCTCTTCTATTATAATATTCGTTAGTTTGTGAGCTAACGTGACCTAATTTAAAAGGATTCGGTCAATAAACAAAGAATACGAGGCTTCAATCAAAATAACATAAAAAGGTACAAGATCAAAATTATTATTATTATTTAATTTTCATGTTATTATTTTAAAGAACCCCGGCCCATCCTTATAATGCACGACACATCATATGTGGGATCCGATCAGAGTAAACCTGTGAAGAGTTTTTTTAATTGTTATAATAATTTAAAGATAATAAAATACATAAAAAGAAAATAAATAACCTAACATGTAATTAAAAAAAAAAACAGAGTAAAACTACGTTCCTCAAAATAAAAATTCAAAATAGTGATAATACCAACTAGCAGCTAATTAATATTTCATACGTACCACCATGTTTTATTAATTGCATGCTATGTACATATTATTTTATTTTTACTTATTATAATAATTAAAATAGAAACTCTTCTCAATTTTACCGCCATGGGATCCCACAGATGATGTACATATTACTACTATTATTATTGCTAAAATGATAATAAATAAAGATGGTAATTGTACCGTTTTACATGAAAACCTGGTGCCATTTATTTGAATGGTGGGTGGGTGGGTGTGGGGGGGACTTTTATCTTCATGGGTTCGGACTTGCTGTTGGGTAAACAAATACTTGATTTATTCGGGTATGGAGATTTGTGGAGTATCCTTTGATTTAATTAATTTATAAATAAATAATATATTAACTTAATTATTTTTTAAATAGTTATCTAAATTAATTTATGTATTTTTTTATAAGATCTCTTTAAGTTAACTTTGTTTGATAAATAGAAAATATTTTATTAAATAAAATTTATCATGATAAAAAACTACATGGACCTCAATTGAAGGCTTGCCTCCGATGAAACATACATGCAGGTTTGAAAATTATCAATAAGGATGGCTCTGGTTGCCCTGCATAAAGCACAAAATTATGTTTTTGTATTAAAATTTCATATTTATAGATGAACAAGAGGTTTTATAAGTTGATATTTAATTAAATGAGATCTTTTATAATTCTTAACAAAAGATGAGACTTTTTTATATTAGGATAGTGATAGAAGATGTTTTTTAAAGTATTTTTAGTATAGAAATATATCAAAATATTTTGAAATTATTTTTAAATTTTATTTTTAATATAAAATTCTAAAAATTAAAAATTTAAAAAAATCCTGAACAACTCATTCCGTGTAAAGAATTTGGCAGAGCACGTATCTCGCCCATTTCGTGCTTAATAAACGGAGATTCGCGCTCTGGTTGGTCCGATTATCGACAGCTTGGAATAATACCATCCTTGTTTTTTTTTGTTGGTTATCTTCTACATCTAACGGTCAGTCAAATGATAAACGGCTGAAAGACATCACCACTGATGACACGTCAATTGTGGAAATTGTCCCACAAGTCACTCGCAGATCACGAGTCACCGTTCCCCGCTCCTAAGAAACGGGATGAATTTCAAACAATTTTTTTTTTTGATATTTGTTTAATAATATTTTCTTTTCTTTTCCGGATAAACAACCATATTTTTTAATATCCGAATACCATTGTTTTGATATCCGTATACCATTGTATCGGATTGCACATTTGCCCCTCTCGCTCCCTGGCTCCTTGAAAAACCCCACTGATGTGTCGTTGTTATCCATAAATTCTTCTTGAAATTTAATACCATGTTAATATTATATTATAAGATTATCCGGGATGATAAGCATAAACAATTTATTGACTTGAAATATTACGGATAGAAATTGGGGCATTGTTGCAAAATTATATTTAACTTCAGAGCTAGTTATTTTCTGTCTGTTTATAAAAAAATATCATTAACTCATTAAATGATCTCCCCTTGTTCGTGTTTTTAATATACAAAGTAGAAGAAAAACCTAGTTTTCGTGTGTTAGAGAGTTAATGTTGTGGATTTTCTATAAGGCCAGCATAAAAAAAAATATAATTTATTGACAAAGTATATGGAAATAATTTTGATATATAGACTATAATGTTGAAGCAAATAGTAGGGAGGGACCGAATTAAGATCCTGAACAAAATATAATTTTGATAGATAGACTATAAAACCTACTCATGAAACTTTTGTAGTTTTTTCCATGTAAGATCATCCTTTATATATATATAGGTTGGGATGCTACGAGAGGCTAGAGTCACCTGAGTTATTGACGATAAGATTCGAAATTGTATGGTGGTTTGATGCTGTCCAGAAAGAGATGCGACAACTCATTTCCATGCTTGATTCGGGCCTTGATTGTTAATGTTCACCTTCATATTGACTTCCTCTAATATTCCTCCTTTTTTGTAGAAGTTCATCTCTCGTTTACAGAATTTGTTCGGGAAAATAGTTAAAAATACACTCCCATATAGATATAATACAAAACCAATAATGTGATGCCGTCGAGCGTTGTTGTCATACTTACAAAATGCACATAACGTGTAGCTGAGCAGGACTGGACCCGCGAGGGAGAGGTTTATATATCTATCAGAAAAATAATTGCTTCAGTGATCCAAAGGGCAGACGGTCGGTGCAAGGATCCACACAATTCTCCAGTGCTCGCGCATCACGCCATAATTCATCGAGACTCCGTCAGTTTTCAGTACCTTTCATGTCAGAGGTGAATTATATTCAATAATATAAAAGAACTGTGTTGTATGTAGTTTTTTATATAAAAAAAAAATTAACTGAATTTCATATATATTTTTAATATGTTTGCCGAACTGTGTTTCATGTAGTTTTTATAAAAAAATTACAACATAAATTTTAATAATATTTTTTATCAAATATATATCTAAATTCAATAAATTATAATTAAAAATATTATTTTTTTCAAATTACAACTGAAGCCTAAAAAGCTAACACAACCTCTATAATTGCGGTCGCCACAACGTGTTGTGTCCATTGTTTCATTTCAAAATTGAAATGTGGATAGAAACCCATCACTCTAGAAGAAAGCATCATTTCAAGTATAGAAAAGCCGATTTGATGCCAAAGTCTTGTGCGCGGGGCATCATCTCCTTTTCAGCAATCTTTTTTTTTTTTTTTTATTATTATTCGTTGAAAGGTTTGTGGGTTTTTAGACTTTGTAGAGGGATAGATCTGCCCCATCACTAAATAGATCTGCCGCATCTAATAATATACGTGTTGCTTGTTCGCCTGCCATGAATGAGGTCGTTGGGGAAGACAACTCGGGCGTCCTCCACGATGGTCGCGCGATTTCTTTCGTTTACGTCTTGTCGTAGTGCGACATCGCATGATGTTTTAATATGCCAACTGGCACGAAAGCAGCATGCCGATGCACCAAACATCCCGCCGAACGCTGTTTTTTAATTTTTTTAATATATTAAAATAATATTTTTTTAATTTTTTAAAATTTATTTTTAATATTAACAAATTAAAACATTTCAAAAAAACACTCAAAATTTTGAAAATCTCCTCTTGTAACACCCCAAAACACCTATAGAAGTCTGGGTCAATCTCAATTATTTGATTAAAATAATTTGTCCATTTTGGAAATATATCTTTCACGCTATGTCAAAACTGCTCTTTTCCATGGACTTTTATTTTCTAATGAGTTGCAAGTTCTTACATATGACCAGTAGATGACCAACCACTGGTTTTTGCGTTTTGCTAGGGGATTTTCGTATTTCCTGGGATAGTGAAGAGCAGACTTGTGTTGCTTTCTATAGCACTTCCACCGAGTACCGTGCCCTTGTTAGCACCACCCAAGAAATTATTTGGCTCTAATAGCTTTTTGGTGATATGGAGTTTAAATTTCCAGGGGCAAACCCCTACTTTACCATCAACGATGTCCCCGTCTCTCATTGTGTTGAGCATTTTCCCTTTTTGCTGGGATTGACTTGAGAGGAAAATGTGGTGTTTTATATGTTGAAACTTACAAAACTAATAAATTGGAGAGGATTCCACTTTTTAATTATGATTTGGTTGGATTCTATATAATACAGAGACTGTATATCTTGGATTTGCTGGAAAAAAATATATTATAACAGGTACGGACCATTTATTCGTGGTATTTTTGTTATTCTTAATTTTCTCTCATTTTTCTGTGGAGTTTATCCATCCTTATAATACATGTTACAGTAAGAGAAAACAAAAAACACTATAGCTACAAAATAAACCAAGGGAACCAGTTAGCTAATTAGGACTCTGACACGATGGGAACAGGATCGTGGCTTCAACTGCCAATGTATAGTCATTTAATTAAATTAATATAATTGGTGGAGTTGTTAATTTAATTAATAAAAATAAATTATTAATAGAATTAATAGAATTATTTATATAATTGATAGATTACGAGTGAAAATAAATGAAAATAAGTTTATAGCGTCATCCTTTTATTTTTATCTATAAATAATTAATGTTTTCAAATTTATTTTGTATATCAAGATAAAAATAAATAAATAAATAAATAATTTTATAAAATTATGAGGTATTTATGAGAAAATAAATAAGATATTTTTTTAAAATAATTTTTTTTTAATTGTTTATCTATTAATAAAGAAAGATTGTAATTACTATATTATTTGGTGAAATTCTTTTATATTTTATCATGGACTAAGTCAAATTAAATGAACCATATAAATTTTTATGTGTTTTATTTTTTATTTTATTAACTATGCATATCAATATTTTAACAGATCATTTACTAGTTCAGTTGAATAAACATTTATAATTTTTCTTTTACTAAAAGAGATTCATAAATAATAAATATGAAATGTACGCACAAGTTTGACGACACTCTCGTTCATCCATCTAACTTACTAATGGGTTTGAGATTAACATTTGAAAAAAATACCATACTTGTGACATAAAACATGAGGGCACAAAAGTGAGTGTTTCGTTTTTTTGACCTTACGAAATAGTTTCTTGTAATTATGCAAACATTCCAATAGTTTAATATATTTCTACACAAAGAAAATTATATATCATTTTCTCGGAAAATCGCACCTCTGCTATCAATTTTAAATAAATTCACATTAGGTCGACAACCTCATGACACCCAGTTAAGAAATCGGAAAGCTGGTGGATTCATCGAAAAGTTTTTGTTTTTTAAATAAAATAAAATCGAAAGCTCCTCGCGCAATGCAACGCACGAACGCGTGCGATTTTGACATGAGAATTGGCGTCTATAAGGGTTTTCCAAACCATTTACTCCAAATATGCTGCGTGTACAAGCAGACCTCTAGTTGAATTGTATTAGTTTTTTTTTTAATTTATATTGTTGTTTGAATCAGTTTGTATATATTTTTATTAATTTTAATATCTTGTAAGTTTAATAAATATGTAAAGCATTACGGGAATTTCATAATTCATTGAACATTTTGTAAACTTAATAAATATATAAAACATCACGGTATGTACAATAAAATTTAAATCCAAACCTAAATACAAAGAAAAAAAATAAATACCTTCCATTTAACTTTATCGTCGCTATAAAATTAACTTTTTTTTTGTTGTGATTGATGTGAAATGCGGTTATTTTTTTGTTTAAACACTAATATATATAAATAAATAAACATTTAAAAAGGAAAAGGACACCACAATGTAGACAGAATTGCAGAAATTATATGGTGTCCTAAATAGAAGAAAGGTATAATTGTACCAGATTTTGTTTTTTAGTCTAGTGGTTTTATCTAGCATGTAAAAACACAATGTAAACCTTCGTAGAAGGTAGACTTGATTAGGTTGTGATTTCATAAATAAAATAAAATAAAATATTAGAATATTTAGTGTTTTAATCCGAATTTAGTTAATTTTATATATCAATAACCCTACGGACACGCATACGTTAGGTCGGTCCACAGAAGAAAAGGAAGGAAATAGGAAAATCAACCGCAGTTTCCTCCCGCGTCTTTTTGAGCATAATTCCTATATATAACGAATTAGTTCTTTATAAAGCTACCATCAGTTGAGCAGCGGCATGGACAATAAAATGATCGCGATAAGGAAGGGCCGACGCGCAACTCGAAGCATGGTGCGTTACATATATTTCAGTGTAGTTTGTTAACTTGTCACATAAAGTGTTTTATAAAAATTTAAATATTTTTTATTTAAATTTTTATTTTTATATTATTTTGATATATTGATATTAAAAATAATTTTTTAATATATTTTTAAATAAAAAATTATTATTATTATTACAATGCCCCACCCCGCCTCCAAATACTATTGTTTGCTTTTGATTGTTATCAGCATTTTTGCTAAAAGGATATACACTGTAGATGTATTAAGAGATAAAAATATTAAAGATACAGATGTCATGTTTCTTTTTATTTCCTTCTTGTTTTGAAAAATAAAAACTCATTCAAAAAATATTTTAAAAATATATTTATTTCTTCTTCTTCTTCTTCAACAAGACAAGATTTTTTTTTTTTGTATCATAGAAAACTAGCCAAATACAACTTAGAGATCGCTCTTGTCCTAGGAAACTAATGACGAAAGACAACTTAGATAACACTGTTATGCTAGCTTTCTAACATTCAATATTTCCTCAATGTTATTGTCAGCAGAAAAGAAAACCAAGGGACACCAAACTAACTAGGAGTATCAAGAGGATAAGAGCTGACATGGCGGAGATCAACGAGGGCCAGGAACGCATACGAGATGGACAGAAAGAAGTGAGGGAGAAATTTGAAGAAATAAGCAAAGAGACTGCCAAACTGAAAGAGGAAACTAATATAATCATCAAGCAGAGCGCTGCAAATCAAGTCAGGCTTGACCTCATGTTTCAAATTATCAAAGCAAGATCAGAGAATGATGCCCCCAGGGACGCCGTTCTGACTCAAATCTTGCGGTTTGTGATTCTCCAAATACGTTTGTTTTATTTTTATGATCAGAGGATATCATATTGACAATATCGCCAGTTAGAAACTTGAACTGCATTTTCTTGGCTTCTTTTTTTTATTTTTTGCCCCGGATGATTTGATTTACTAATGTTTTCGTTTGTTAAATATTATGTTTCAGGGAACTAATTAATGGCAAAGCAGAACCTGAGCTCAAGCAAGCTCCCCGAGGAGAGGCAATAACAAGATCAATAAATTAACCATGCTTGTGCGCGCGCATACACTTAGATTTAGGCAGTTTATGATTGAAAAAAAGTGCAAATAAAAAGGAATATCTGAGAATTTATCCCATATCGAATAAGTATAAAACAAAAACCAGTTTATATAAAAGAATTGAGAAAAGGCCTCTCATAACTAGGCTTGTGTAAAGGACTTGGTATCATGATGACATGCTCAATTGTGAGCTGGTTTTAAGTCTATTTTAGAGGGAAAACATTCATACAAGAAACATTCATGCTCAATTGTGCTTTACAATACTTGGCTTTTTTACACCTCTTAATATTGCTGTCAACTATGTCAATTCATGAACGCCCCCACCCCCACTGTGAGGTTGGTTGCCACAATTAATGTGCAAGATGTTAAAGGTTAGCAGCCACCATTATTGAAGAAGATTTGGAGTTGACAGCCATCTTTTTGAAGAAAAGCCTCCATGAATGGCTATAAATAGAGACATATGCAAGAGAGCAAAATGAGTGAAGAGAATTATGAAAATGTGAAGAGACATATGCAAGAGAGCAAAATGAGTGAAGAGAATTATGAAAATGTGAAGAGAGTAGAGAGGAAGAAAGAGCTGCAATGGCAGCAGCTGCAAGTGCAGCAAAGAGAGTTGAGAGTTGAGTATGAGAGGGTGTAATCCTCCTCCTCCATGTATTTGTTTTATATTCTTTATCTATCTCTAAATATATTGACTTCTCTCGTGGATGTAGGCGGTTTTGCCAAACCACGTTAAATATTGTGTCAGTGTGCTTGGCTCTCCTATGAGCAAGTATCAGAACATCACCGGTCGAAATTCCCAACAATTGGTATCAGAGCGTTCGGTTTAAAGTGGTGTTTGATTTTGCTCAAAAATAAAAGTTGTCAAAATTGTGTTTTGACCATACCACTGTGTAGAGGAGGAAGAGACGAAGCCACTGGTGAAAACCGCGTCGAAATCGGACGTTGGAAACCGGCGCATGCGCCGGCGGGGCGACTGTCCACGTCATCAGCCACGTCAGCAGTTCTGCACAGTCATCAAACACGTCACCTGACATATCAGCACTCTGACCAGTCAAACTGCCACGTCATTAGGCACGTCAGCAGTTCTGCACAGTCATCAGGCACATCACCTGGCACATCAGCACTTTGACCAGTCAAACTGCCACGTCAGCTCCCTGGATTTTGATCCTGTGTGGCAGAGTCTACGTGCAACCGGTTCTGAGATTGAATCTGGGCCGTTTATCAGGCCAGAATTATTTTGATCAAATCTTAGCCGTCTAAAGTGCGATTTGGATGATTTCAGACTTGTTTCCAGCTAATTTGATCATTCCGGATGCAATGGTATGGTCTGATCGTTGAGATTGAGATCATAAAAGACAGTGATGAATTATTAAAGAGAGATTGCCCGATTAGGAGGCATCTGATGGTCATCATGGTGGTCGATGGAGCTGAAGAAGAAGAAATCACACATGTTTGCCCAATTACATGTGTTGAACTATTATGTGGGAAATTTTAATTGCCTTGAGGGAAGTTAAAATTGGGACACTCTGGACACCCGATCATTTGGACAATTTGAGGTGGAGAGTGAAATTTAATGAAGACCAATCTTGACGAATCTGAGCACTGGTAGTCTCGCCAGATATTGAGAAATCAGGTATAAAACCAGGATACCCCAGATCACTTGTAAAGGAAAGCCGCAACAAAGCTAGCAAATGGTTGTATATACGAAAAGACAGTACGATGGATAGATATGGCCTAAGAAGTTCTGGCTAGGAGATTGGGTTTTAAGCGGGACCGTTGTGACCCCTCCAATCTTTCCTGGGAACTTGCTTAGTGGAAGGATTATCCATACGGTACTATTTTCGTATATGTGACAGTTTGTTATAAAACTGTTGAAGACTAGCAGGATGACGGCACAAAGGAACAGTTGGGTTCCGTATGATCAAGGATTTGATGGAGTGGTGATTTCTCCAAGGAAGTTAGATTCGGTGACTATAATTTCTCGAGGGGAGAATTGATGAAGACCCTGATAATGGAAGAGAAATACAGCAAAGGGATAAAGATTGGCACCCTATTTAAACTTGGATAGATGTTGTGACAGGATGAGCTGCTGTCAAACATAAGCAATGAATAGGAAGAAATCTGGAGAACCAAAATTGCACGAGAGCACATGAAGATTGTGTAGGAGTACCCGGAGGATCCAACGAGGTACTATAATGAGACAACAGGTGCAAGGAGAAGAAGAGTTCCTAGATAAAGCTCAGAGCAGAGACTATGAAAAAGTTGTACAACAAAAAGTCTCTTGTGCTCTTGATAAAGGCAACAAGCGAGGACCTTTCAATGCATGCAAGGATGGAAGGATGAGCTGTTGCAGATGCACCTAATTGAGGGGGTGCAAACGCCTGTGATAAAAGGTGACCGCCTATGATGAAAGGCGAAGACACCAAAGGAAGTTGGTGCGGGTGGAGCTGTTAAGCAGAAAAGGCGTAAAAGCTCCAAACATAGAAATTGAGGTGGAGGATTGCGAGGAGTATACCGCAACTTTCTCTTTCTATGTAATTAGTGGTAAAGAATTTATGGAACCACTTTGAAGCATCTTAGCTGAAGGAGGATGCGACTGCCTATAAAAGGCAAAGACACCTTAAAGAGAAGGTGTGAGGGCTATGAGATGAGCCCATGATCAGACCGCCGCATGACGATGAGCGGAGACACCTCAGGAGAAGGTGTGAGGGCCGTGGAAGGAGCCCAGTTCAGAACGCCCCAGAGCCAATGTGATGGCTAGGTATGAGTGGATAGATGGATAGCCAATAAAAGGGCTATGATGAGTATGAAGACAAATGCAGGATTGACTTTCATGGATATTGCCCCCATGCTAAAGATCAATGAGCTAGAAGACATTTGCCTTGGACAATAAGTGGATGACTTGTGGAGCATTAAGACGTGGCTGCTATGAAGGAGCAGAGGGCATGCGAAGGTTCCGGGAACAAGTTGACTCTTGTCAAGGTGGTGAGCTCGGTAATGGCATTGTAATACTCAGAGTATGAAGACAGATATGGATCAACCTTTTATGGGCTGCCCCCATGGTTAAAGGTGGAAAGCTACCTGGACTCTTGAGACTAAGAGCAAGAGACTCATGGAGAAGTAAGGCGTGGTTCCTAGGGTGGAACAGAGGGCAGGCGCAACTCCTGGATGAGTAGACTCTTGGAAGAGTGGTGAGCTTGTGATCATATTGAGATACTCAGATAATGACTGTCGCACTTGAAATATCCGTTTGAGGGGGTGTTGTAAGCCTTGATGTGAGGCTTGAGGAATCATTCCGGACTGAGCGTGGTTGATACGCTCGAAGGGGAATGTTGTTCCAGAGACAAGCGTTAACACTATTCAGATGTGATGTGGCAGACCATCTTGTTATAGTGATCCTTTTGTGTGAGAAAAGGTGTGCTTAGGTCACTCTGATGATTGAAAGGTTTGGCAAGTACCTGTAAACTTGGCTACAAAAGCTCTCAAAATGGAAAGCTTGGAAGAGCTGCAAGATGCAAGCTTGTGTTGAAGAAGAATGAGGACAGTTGCCCCACATGAATGGCAAAGGGGGTGATTGTTAGGTTGGTTGCCATTAATATGCAACAACCATTTGCTATTGCACCAACCATGTGCACTCATCCAAGATGTCAAAGGTTGGCAGCCACCATTGTTGAAGAAGAGTTGGAGTTGGCAGCCATCTTTGTTGAAGAAAAGCCTCCATGAATGGCTATAAATAGAGGCATATGCAAGAGAGCAAAATGAGTGAAGAGAATTATGAAAATGTGAAGAGAGTAGAGAGGAAGAGAGAGCTGCAATGGCAGCAGCCTTGCTGCCATTGCAGCAGCTGCAAGTGCAGCAAAGAGAGTTGAGAGTTGAGTATGAGAGGGTGTAATCCTCCTCCTCCATGTATTTGTTTTGTATTCTTTCTCTATCTCTAAATATATTGACTTCTCTCATGGATGTAGGCGGTTTTGCCAAACCACGTTAAATATTGTGTCAGTGTGCTTGGCTCTCCTATGAGCAAGTATCAGAACATCACCGGTCGAAATTCCCAACACCCACTACTTGGACATCTTGCAAGAAATAAATTGTTTCATGCTAAAGTAAGTTGTATACCAACATAGGGAATAAGAAAAAGTAGTTGAACACAATCTTTAAATTTTTTTAAGATTAATAAAAATTTATATAGTTATTAATTTTAAAACTTGTAATATTAATCAATATATACATACAAACTATTTGACTAAAACACTTATATTAATTAAAAAATAAAAACATAGTCGAACACTTTTTATCTAGATGTCCAACTCGATTTCTATCTGGATATGCTTTGATGACACACACCTGGGTATAGATGAAAAGACCGTGACTAATAATCAATGCCACGTACCTAAGAATACGTTCTTAAATAGAAAGTAATTGGCATACCTACTACTAACTATTGTTAGTATACTAGTTACTTTCATAATATTTATTTTACTATAAACTCTATTTGTCGATTCATGAAGGTCCCTATTACTAATCATCTTGAGGCTGCTAAATGTATCCTCAAGTATGTGGCAGGGACTATTAGTCACGATCTTTTCATCTTTTCTATATAATTATGTGTTAACTCAATATATTTAGATGTGGATTAGGTTAGATGTCCAGATAATTCAACTACTAGTTTGCTTATTTTTTTTTTTTAAATTAACGTGGGTGTCCGGATCAGCTTGTGCGCACCACGACTAATCCCACGACTAATCTCACTACTAGTTTGCTTATTTTCTATATTGATATACGAGTGTCTTGACATCTAGCAAGAAATAAATTGTTTCCTACTCAAGTATTAAAGCTAAATATTTGGCAATCTCCCCCATTGTTATTGAACTTCTTTGACTATGCAATATTCTAAAAAAATATCGGTATTTCACAATCTACCTAAGCATTTGGATATTTATTTCTATTATGTTCGTAAGAAAATCTCTAATGTTATAATTTTGATTCCTATCCTGTAAGTTTAGTTCAGGAATCTTGTTGCCGCATGAGTGTAGCGTCACAACGAAATATTTTGTTTCAATCTAAATAATGTATATCTATCTAACAAATATAGGGGGATAAGGGATTCTTGTTGTTTATCAGTGAAAAATAAAATGAGAGTCATCACCTAATATTTTAATTACTAGAAACCCTAACTGGTCTTAGAGATTGGATACGGGGACTGATTGTATAAAGAAAAAGGTATTAACACCCCAAATACATCTTACCTGAGGTAAGTTGCATTGTTTGATTGTTTAATAAAAATCTAAGGTGTTATTGTATTTCTAGTTGTTGGTTTAACTATGGTTCAAGAAAAGTCTTTCTTAGTAAGGAGATCCTTATCTTATTAGGTAAAAACCTAACTATTTTAACATCTATATAAAAACTATATTTTTAATATCAGGAATATATTTTACGTATAAATTCATAA